CCCCCCGGCTGTTATTCACTCCCCTTTACCCCCCCAGCCGCTAATTAATTGCCCTTTCCCCACCGGCTGCTAATTAATTGCCCTTTCCCCACGGGCCGCTAATTGCCCTTTCCCCCCCCGCCCAAGCTGAGCTACCCAGGCGCCGCGGCCGCCTCCCGTGGGTCTTAATTAGAGCGCGGTTTGGGTCCGGGCTCGCCTCAGTAACGCTTTTTTAGCAGAGAAGTGGAACAAAAGGCGAAGGGCTGGGAAGGGGAGCGGCTCGGTGCTGCGCGGCCCCCCAGTCCCCCTAGGGTAAAAGTTAAACCTGGCTTCCTTGGACCGCTCTGTGCTTATTCTTTGCTTGTGGCTTTTTTCCCCCCCCCCCCCAGAACAAGATGGAGAAGTCGGTGCTGTTTCTGTGCCATCTTGTCTATTTTCTTCTGATAGTCAGGGGAAAAAAAAAAAAAAACCTTAAGTAAATCGGGAGCAGTACAAAGAGATGTATTATTGCAAACTTTTAAAGCAATCTGGAAAAACCTGCTGCAACCTTGGTTTTAGAGTGGGTAACTATACAGCAGCTATAATAAGAGGATGTTTCTAAGGCTTAAAATCAAAAACGTATTTCTGAAGCCTGCCTGCATTCTGAGTGCCATTTTAGCAAAAGAAATAGCCAGACTATAGATAACATTAATTTCTTTACATCTACCTCACAGACTTAAGCACGGTGTTTCAAACCACCTTGTATACTCACATTGAGGTAAGCACTGCAAGTTCTGAGGTATCCAATTTAGGTAAATCACAGAGAAAAAGGCTATTGCTGTCTCTTAAAAGCAGAGATAGCAAAACTGTCGTAGCTCCATTTCTCTGTCTACCAAGCTCAATAGCAAAGAGGAAAATGATCTAATGGGGAATACTTTCGGCAAAAAACAATGTTGAGAGGGAGGGTTTTTGCCAGGGCAGCCCTTCAGGAGCTATCGGTGGAGATACTGAGCGTGAGTCCATGCGTGCTGAAGCAGCTGCAGGCATCCTCACAGAAGTACAAAACCACTTTCTCAACATACACATCACAAAACATGTTTTCAGGGAAAGAAAAAAATGGAATTAGTGTCCCAGTACAGAGCTGAAGTGGGAGGTAATCGCATTATCTCTTCAATTTCACATCTCTCTCCGGTATCAAGTTAAAGAATTATGGTTGGTTTTGTCAGGACTTGGAATAAAAACATTTTATGGTTTTTTTTGTCTGGTGGTTGGGGGTTTTTTTGTTTGTTTTTTTTTTTTTAATCCTATCAGGAATATTGAAAAGCTTCAGAAATTCTCCAGTTGGAAACCTTTTGTTTCAGTTCTGTATTGCATGTTGGTGTGTGCCAGTTGTGAGCTGGGAAACAATGTGAGAGTGGAAAACATGGTGGTTCTGAAACAAGTTCAGAATCCATAAACAGTGTTTCAAGCCACTTCTTTTAGAGCATTTTCCTGTAGAGATCCTATTACAAAATACTCTGGGTTTGAGGAAAATAGCACATTTTGCAGGTTTTTTCATTGTAGCCTTTTGAAGTATCTCTGATGGAAACGCAGGAATACCGGTTTGTGTGCGTAAACGCCGTGCTCGTGTGCCCACGACGCTCGCTCAGACGTGCTCGGCAGGGTGGTTTTGCATGGCGGGCAAACATCTGCACACCCACACAGCTTAACTGTAAAGAGTTTAGGCTGAGTAAGGAACATATGGCCGGTTTTACTTATCTTCTGCTCGTTTGCCAGCCAAACTGTAGCAGTAATCAGAAGTTTGGTAATTTACCATGTATGTAAGCAAGGCAGGTTTGTTCCTTCTCTCCTTTCAGAATT